TCCTTCCAGCCAGCTCCGCTGCACCCCCCCCAACAGCAGTGCTTCCTACTCCCCCTTCCTCCCGGCCAGCACCGCTCCCTTCCTGTCCCCCCCTCCCCATGAAGCATGTTCGGGGTTTTTTGTTTTTAAATGACTATCTGGTAACCGCTAGCAGTGATCCAGGTTCTCAGAGTGGTTTTTTTTCTTTTGCTCAATAACTTTGGTCCCCTTCCCCCCCTTTTTTTCCTTTAACAACATTTTTTCCCAGTGTGTTTTTTTTGGGGGGGGAGGGAGGGTGTTCGGTATTTTTCTTTCAGCCATCTGGCAACCCTACAGACACAGGAAATGGATTTAAATTTCCCGGGGTTTGCAATTAGGAGAGTGGCATCTCTTTAGCTGTAAACATTACATGGCTGAAGGGCAGCCAAGTTCAAGGTGATATCCAGTGTAGCTAAACAGGGCATTGTGGGATACATGCTGGAGTCCCATACACTCAACAAAAAGCCCACCCGGTTCACACTGTGTGATTGTCGACAGTGCGGAGCTGGGAGGTTTTCGTTGCGAAAAACCAGCTGTATGTCACGACTTGGGCTGGAGAGCCGCACGTGGAGCCGGGCTGTGAGCAGAGTCTGGGCTGGGGGCTGTGCTCCCTGAAGGCAGGTGATAGTTAATGACTGACTCATGGTTCATGCAGTTTTCCTTTTTTTACAGATTTGATTCCTCCAGCCTTCTCTTCAGTGTCCTGCCATGGCTGACGCTATCTTCGGCAATGGCAGTGATCAATGGGTGTGTCCCAATGACCGGCAGCTGGCGCTGAGAGCCAAGTGAGTGCTTTATGCTGCTGTGCGCTGGCTCGCTTTCGGTTAGCAGCAGCGGCCTCAGAGCATGATCTCTGGCGCGTTTACCGTTGCCCTTCAGGCTGACTCTCAGGCTGTGGGCCTGGGAGACGGGCCCATGCCAGTTGTCTGTGAGGCAAGGCCCCCTGGATCTCAGCACATCCAAACTGCAAAGGCAGCCTGGAAAGGGAGAGGGAGGTATTTCCCAGTGGTTAGAGCCGTGGCTTGAGGATCCCTCAAGCATCATGTGTATTTGCTTGATCTAAACTAGGGCAGGCCTGGGCAAACTATGGCCCGGTGATGCAGCGGGGAGTCCCAGGCAGGCTCTATGCTTGCTTCACCCCACCTGCATGCTGCTCAGAAATGTGGCTGCGAGGTGGGGTGGTTTTTTAAAACTGTGAGTCCGGAGGAGTCGGGGGGAAGCTTTAGGAGCCGCTCCTGCCCCCAGCACAATCCCATTGGCCCATTTCAGTAACAGGCAGCCATGAAGCGCAAGGGGCTCCAGAGCACATGGCTACAGCCTGTGCAGGGGCAAGCATCAGTGTTCCCTCTAAGCTGCGCGGCAGCACAGCTTCACAGGTGATTGATCAGCTCCGCCCAGTCAGTGCCGCCCTGCAGCTTAGAGGGAACACTTGGCAGGCTGATTCAGGAACGGGCTGCTGGCTGGTAAGTCTCCTGGTCAGCCCCTGCCTCTAACACCTCAGCCGTTCCCTTCCCCAAACTCTGCCCCCCTACTCCATATACCCAAATCCTCTGCACCCCTCCTGCACCCATATCTGGCACCCCAATTCCCTGGCCTAGGTCACAATCCAGCCCCCTGCATTCCAGTGCAGTGCCACATGTCACAACTGCCTCCTTCATCCAAATTCCCTCCCTTATCTGAAGTTCCCTTCTGCACTCAACTTCCATTCCAAACCCCTTGAGGCCCCTTGATCACTTTCCAAATTCTTGGAGTGGCCCCCCATCAAAAATTATTGCCCACCCCTGGACTAGGGCCTACTCTACACCAGTGGTGCTCAACCTTTTTTTAATTCGCGACCTCCAGGCCCAGGAAAATTTTTGTTGAGCCAAAAAAAAAATAGTGTCTGGAACATTTTGTTGCGGCCCCTTTAATTTAAAGTGCTGGTCCACTCCCCTCATGTGTATGTCAGGCACCACGCCGGAAAAAAAAAATGGTAGCCAGCCCAGATCGAAGTGCTGCGACTTCCCAGGAAGATGGGTTGTGCACTGCTGGTTTAGACTTTACCTCACTGTTGAGAACCGCTGGTCTACACCACGCCCTCTCGCTCCCCCTCCTCCTCCATCAATCTAAGGTACGCAAATAGTGTAGCTGAAGTCAATGTACTTAGACCTACTCACCGCAGCGTCATCTTTGCAGTAAGTTTGGCAGCTGATGCTCTTCCGTTGACTCCACTTACTCTTGTTGCCCTGATGGAGCACCAGGCTCAATAGGAGAGCTCTCAGAGGTCGATTTATCACATCGGAGTATTTACTTAGATCGATTGCTGCAGCTTCAATCCACCATGTAGTGGAAACAAACTGGTAGGGGAGAGCTGGGCCTCTCCACACCCACAGCTGGCTGCTTTTCAGAACCAGCGCGAGGCTTGTGCAGGAATGGCAGAGGAGAGGTCTCTCCGGCTCCTCGCGGTACCTGAGCTTCCTCGTAGTTGGTGGCTTTGCTTCTGTGCTGGGGAGAGCAGGTGTGTAATAACATCCTGCATCCCTGCTGTCACTCCGCCCTGCTTCAAGGGACCAAACGTGCTGTAAAATCTGAAATGGACTCCGCAGTTTTGCCGTGATCAGTGCATCACTGGTGCAGCCACCTCGTGGGCAAAATGTGGCAGCTGCTGAAGAGGTAACAGGCACGCCAAAGAAGAACGCTGTACCCCACCCGCTCTGCCAGGGGTGTTTAGACAGAATGGAATGGCCTGGCTCGGCCCCTGCCCTGGTGAACTGAGCCACGGTACAGCCTGACCACTGGGAGTTGGGCATGTGCCCCATTAGATGGCCCGTAGGACAGCCCTGGGCCTTGGTTTGTTCCAAGTCAGAAAGGGTGCACAAGGTAGTGGCTTGCCTGCCCCATTGAGAGCAGTACCAAGTAGGGATGTGAATGGTTAATGGGTGAGGCTTACTGGTTCCTGTTAACAGTGGGGGCTGGAGCAGCTCCCCGACCATCTCCCCTTTAATTGGTTAACTGGTTAAACACTGTTTCTCCCCTTGAAGGGGATTCTTAGTACCAATCTGCCCCCGTCAGTCTCCCATCCAAGTAATGACCTGATCCTGCTTAGCTTGTGAAATTTGCCAGGACCTACAGTGCGGAATGCGGATCAAAGCTGCTCAAGTGCTCTGAATGTTACGCTGGCGCTGCCTTGCTGGAGGCCAAGTATGTCATTTGGCTTCCCTGAGGACAGCCACAGGAATCGCGGCTTGGATGCCTCTTGACTGACGCGGAGTTTCTTTCCTGTGCAATAGCTTTCCACACCCACCCTCCTTTGAGTGCCACCCACTGGCCCTGTGTTGAATAAACAAAGTGGGTGGATGCAGAAGCCAGTCCTAGCAGTGCCCCATATATAATTCATGGCCTCCCCCCGGCTGGTGCCTGCTCTATTGTTTGGAGGCACATGGCATTTGATCTTGTTTTCTCCCTGAAGTCAGATTGCTGGCAAGGTGTGAATACACTGAAGGGGGGCTAACTCAGTGGCTTAAATTGTATTTGGCCTGGCCTCTTTCCTCTTGCCGGAGTCTACGCCCGGCTGTCCTCAGTCCTGCTCCAACTGAATCTCCTGGGTCAGCTTCAAACTGCTTAAAAACATGACTGTGCCCAGCTGCACAGGGCTGTGGCTGTAAGCGTGATGTGGGCAGGCCGGAGCCTCCTGCAGCCACTGCTGTGGAACTCCCCTTAGGCTTGGCTACCGGGCACTGAGCCACATGTTTTCATGGTGCATCTCTAAGGTCACCTCGTGGTCTCTGAACCCTTTTCTAGTACTCGTGAGCTAGGCCCATAACCCTGTGAGTTTAGGAGTATTCACACCATTTGACAGAGGAGAAACAGGCCTAGAGAGGACTGTGATATTCCCCAGGTCACCCCGCAGGCCAGTGGCTAAGATGGGGGTGAATTCCCAGACCTAGAGTTCCAAAAGTGCCTAATAATGTTGGGTGCCCAGCATGAGATGCCTTACAGGGGCCTGACTGTCAGAAGGGAGGCCCTCAGCACTTCTGGAAATCAGTCTCCTCTAAGGCAGTGCCTCTCAATCTTTCCAGATTACTGTATCCCTTTCCGGAGCCCGATTTGTCTTGCCCAGCCCAAAGTTCCACCTTGCTTCAAAACTACTAGCTCAGAAAGTCAGACATAAAAATACAGAAGTGTCACAGCACGCTGCTATTGAAATATTACTTACTTTCTCATGTTACTATATAATTATAATATACATTAATTGCAATATAATACTTACGTTTCAGTGTATAGTAGACAGAGCAGTGTACACCAGTCATTGTATGAAATTTTAGCGTGTAGTGACTTCACTAGTGCTTTTTCCGTAGCTTGTTGTAAAACTAGGCAAATATCTAGATGAGTTAATGTACCCGTAGGGAGACCAGGGGTATGTGCACCCTTGGTTGAGAATCACTGCTCTAAGATGTTTTAGAAGGAGTGGAAAATAGAGGTATCTAAAATCACTGGTTGTCCTGAAAATTTAAGGCCCTGGCTTTAACCACTAGACAGTTTTCCTGCTGACATTGTGCAGGGAAAAGAGCGGGGGGACAGGAAGAGTCAAACATAGGGGTAATGTGAAATGAAAGGTGTAAAAGACCTACTCAAAAAGAGAGATTCAAGGGTGGGAGTAGTTAGGTCAGTGGCAAGAAATTTCTCAGCCCTGCCAGGAAGGTGAAGTGCAGGGCAGGGTGCATAAAGGGTTAGCGGTTACCTGGTAAGCATTGCCTTACCAGCATGCTTACTGGGGTAACCAGCGTCCAACCTCGCCAGAGCAACCTAGCTGGGTCCCTTGTGCTATGGGTGGGCGACTGCCCAGTGGCCCCCCTCCGTCTCCATGTGTGACATGGTGGGCTGGTTAAACCTATCGTGTAACCAGTTAACATTTTAACCAGGATTTTACATCCCTAGTTGCATCAGTGGCTTCCTGCTCAGGGCCCAGCATCTCTGCTGAGGCAAGTCGATGGCCGGGATTTGCTGGGCGCCTGGAGTGTGGCAGGGGATTTCTGTGCTGTTCCAACCTGAAATGTGTTGCTGCCCCCCTGCAGGCTCCAGAGTGGCTGGTCGGTGCACACAAACCAGACTGACAAGCAGCGGAAAATGCAGGCGCTGAACCCGCAGGAGCTGGAGGTCATCCTGGAGGTCATCCGCAAGGCAGAGAAGCTGGACGTTGTTGAGCAGCAGCGAATCGGGTACAGTCCTTCCTCCTGGCTAGGGACTTGCTGCTTATTTCCTCCTGGAGGAGGGCATAGGCCTGTCCTAGGATGGCTCTTGAGTCCTCTGCTCCAATCACTGCACAGGCCGAGCACCTGCCGGTCAGTGTCTGCCCCCACACATCTGTGTAGCTCTGGTTTGGACTGGGCCAAAGGCATGATGGGGGCTCTTCCCGTCACCCCCAGACAGCATTTCTCATCTCCAGACTTGGGTCTTGTCTAGACCAGGGGTTTGCGCTGACCAGGCCCACTGACGGGGGGTGGGAGGGAGGGAGCGTTTTCCCTGGAGCATGGTGATACAAAAGGGCCTGGAGCTCCCAGCCATGGGGGCCCTTAAATTACTGCTGGAGCCCCGCCGGCATGCTCCAGACTGCCTGGGGGAGGACCAGCACTTTCCAGATGGCACTGAGGGCTGCCTACACCCAGCCCGCTCCCCCCGCCTTGACTGTCTGCTGGCTCTGACTATAGCCACTGTGGCAACACCTCGGGTAGCTGGTGGCTGAGCTCGGCCTGGCTATACCAACCACACCCTTAGCTCTGGCCAAGGCCTTAGGAACCAGACTGAGCGGCGCAGCTGCCCAGCGCTGGGGCTGCCAACAGAACTCCCAGGCGACGGTCTCCGGCTGCCCAGGAGTTCTCTAGGGCGGTGTGCGCGGAGCAGGGAGCGTGCTGGAGTATTCTGGCTGGCTGACTCCATGGAAGGTTTATTAGCTGGAGTCATTCACTGACTGGCACCATCCTCATCCTTCGTTACCTCGCCACGCTTGGCTTGGCTTGGCTTGGCTTTTGGCTGAGCTGAAGGACTGGCTGGCAGATGGGATAGAGTTAACCCTGCGCCTGCCTGTGTCAAAGCAGGTGAGTCGCCCAGGGGAAAGCTGCCCAGAGAACATTGTTAATGGGCAGGATGAAAGGAAGATCTCTGGATCAGGCACAGCTTGTGCAAAATTCCCCCAACGGGCTGAAACCTTTTGCTGGAAACTGTCTTGCCCAGAGCGTGGGGAGGGTGTGTTTTGTATGAGGTGGTATAAGAACCACTGTGAAAACTGGCAGGAAGCACGAGCTGGTAACTGCTCGCACTTGGCTGGTGAGCTCGGGGGAAAGCCCCAGTCCCTCTAAGCACTTGCCTCTTGCTTGTTGAAGTGCTCAAGTTCTTCTAAGTCTTTAAAGTTCTATTGTGTGGAGGCCAGAGGCCAAGAAATCAGCAGTGATGGCTCCTTATGGCTCTGTTGTGCCTGAGCTCATCACTGTGGGCTCTGTGCCCCTTCCAGACAGACCTTGCTTTCCCATCGGTGCCCGACGGGCCTTGTGGGACTTTGGCCCTAATGAGAATGTAGGTGGGTGAAGAATGGCCTTGCCTTTTCTCCATTAGCGCACCTGTGTGCACAGCTGCCTCTGGCTTCTGCCTCTGATAAACTGCATCATTCCTGTTTTGCTCCCTTTGTAAATAGAAGCGCTGTGTGGTGAGCTAGAGCTGTAATCCTAGCTCTGTACGCCAGCCACGTTCTGTAGTCAAGTTGCCAGCAGCTGTTGTGAAAGCTGCACGCACAGACTTTTGCCATTTTTGGCTGGAAAGCAGCCGATTCATTACTGCCGAGGCTTGCTGGTGTTCCCCATCCTGCGTGGGCCCTGTGGCTTCAGAGTTTGGCCTTCCCAGCTCAAAGCCAGGCATGGGGTGGTGTCTCAGGGCAGGGGTGGGTGCTACAGACAATCCATGGTAACATCCTAGAACCTGAGCCACTGCCAGTGGGGATGTCCCAGATTCCTCTGTGCCCATTGTTTTGGGCTGGGTTTCCCCATAGAAACCCTACTTTCTGGCACGTGAATTTACAGCCAATCTGGGTCCCAAAGGCAGGAAGCCTTTACTCTGTGCTGCAAGCAGAAGGCCATGGTGATGCTGGCCCATTTACTACCCTTTTTTGAAATGCTGAAACAACCCCTGCATGCTCCGCACTCCCAGCCTGAGGCAGGGATACAGCCTGCCCCCAGTCTGCTTATATGGCGTTGGCTGGGTGGTGGTGGTCCCGTTTGTAGACCGCTCAACTGAGTTAGTGAGACTGAGTGATTGCTCAAGGCTGCATGAAGCGGCAGTGGTGGACCAGGGACAGAACCCAGCTGTCCAGATCTTACCACTAGCCCACGCTCTTCTCCGCAGAGTCTGCTTCACTGAAGTGATTCCAAAGGCGTCTCCTTTAACCTCTGCTCCCCCGCAGGCGCCTGGTGGAGCGGTTGGAGAACATGAGGAAGAATGTGATGGGGAATGGGCTGTCTCAGTGCTTACTCTGTGGTGAGCTGCTGGGTCTGCTGGGGACCACGTCAGTCTTCTGTCAGGACTGCAAAAAGGTGAGCTTGCATATCCTGTTTGCATGTAAGTACCCAGGAGGCAATCCGTCTCGGGCTGACCTGCCATGGCGGCTGGCTGGACAGCGTTAACAGTGCTGTGCTTTATCACGCAAAACGCAGAGCATCTGGTCCCCTCCCAGTCCTTCATATCACATGAAGGGTCATTCCCCTAGATCCCAAAATCGATATCTCTTATGTAGACCCCATTGAACTGCAGCTACCTCTGGGCTAGAAGGCACCAGCCAGACAAACACTGGGCTTGCACAGCCAGGGAAGGGGGCAGCGATTGTGTTCAGTGGGGAATTCTCACCTCATCCGCCTGATCATCGAGATCTCATCTGAACATCTGCCTGCTCAGTTTCTCCATCTCAGTGGGATGGAGGTCCAAATCCACCCTTCTGGAAAGACAGTTATTTCAGGGCTAACATGTAGTCCTCTGAGCCACCCCCCCCCTCCGGCTAGAGCATGGTGCAAGCTTACTGCATGGTGCTGTCGCAGTGGCATCTGTTCTGTTTGAAATAGAAGGCAGGCTTCAGTCTGTAGGGTTTTCACTGCAGCGCAATGTGTCGATGGGAGACCACTGCTTGTCGGGACTCCAGCAACTAAGGGGTTAAGCTGGAGAGCTGCCATCTCCAAGGCAACCACCTTCTCTCCTCTGAGAGCCTCTGCTCCGATGTTGAGCTTTTTCACACACTTGAAACCCCTCTTGCCCTGGGAGAACTCTCCCTTTTCCACACTTGTGCCTCAAGGAAGCATGTGCAGAGATGCCAGGCTTGGAACAGGATGGTGAGCAGGACCCAGCCTTGCAAGGAGGCAGAGCGCGGATGGGGACTGAAGGGAGCCGTCCACATTGGCAGTATCCCCTCGGGGTCGTGGTGGCTAAAGTGAGGCCTGGGTGGCAACTAGAGCTGCCTCATGGACTCCAAGGGAGGTAGCCGCATGGAGCCCACAGCAGGAAACCCGCCCGCCAGTCCTCCCTTGTTGCAGAGTCTCATGGTCACCAAGACACACGGTGGGTTATTGTTTCTCTCGCTGGGGACAGGAGATAATTGAAGCATAGAACATTACAGACTGTGCAAAGTCTTCTAGCACAGTTGCCCTTTTCTTTAGGCCGCATGTAAGCTACACCGAGTCACACCTGCATGCCCTTCCTAGGGATGTACAGTCCCATTTAATTTAATTTAACCGATCAAGCATTTAAATGGAAAGAGCCCTAAGACTTAAGGACGGCTGCAGAGAGTTAATAAGATCAAACTGGAATTCAGAAGGTGTACGTAAGCAGATATCCTACGGGCCTCAGCAGTGTTGGAGTGGGTGAGTGCAAATATGGGAGCCACCACGCCCAGAGTATTTCAGAGAGATTCTAAGATCAGAACCCAGGCAGACGGGAGGAGATAATCACCCTAGGAGAGGTAATGAAAGAGGCACCTACACAGTGGAGGTGGTCCCTGACTTGAGAAGGCCTGGCCTGCATGGACTGGGCACAGAGAGGTGGGGCAGACGGGGTGGTCAGAGCAACTGCCCTTGGTGCAGCAGAAGTCAAAGGTGATTTGGGCAGTTTGGACACGCATCCTACAACTGGCTCAGCTGTTCATAGGGAGGGGAGGCCCGGTGCAGGAGAGACAGTGATTTGTTTCCTTTATTTCAAGAAGAAAGAATAACAGGATATGTCCTGCTCCCCACCCTCTTCCCCTGGAAATCCTGCTTACCGCACAGCTACACCAGCAGGGAGCCATGCACTTACTCGGGCATTTTCTGGTCCCCTTCCAGTGAATCTCCTTCCATGTGCTGAGGATGGGACAGAGGGTGGCATGAACTGTCCCTCAGTTTCCACCTCTGAGAAATAGGAATAAAACCTTTACCAGCCCTGCAGGATGCATGGGTGTATTGGGAATCCTGAAGTGCCCTGAGGTCCTTGCATTACAGGCCCTGTCCCAGGGCAAAGTGTTTGTTTTTTCCAGACCATTCCCTTTTAACCAGGAATTCACGGGGCTCGGATTAGAAAAAGGTCACCTTGAATTCAGGGAAGAACCTTGCTATTTAGTGAGAGTTGTTTCAAGCAGTCGTCATTTTCTTGCTGATGCTGCCCTCTCATTGGAATTGCAACAGCCTCCACGTTTCATTCAGTAACAGGAATCTTTGTAATGAATGCAACATAATGCATATGAAACAGAACAATGAATACATCTAAAGTGAGTTGCCCCTGCAAAATATAGACGTTTCCAGCCCTTTGAATCCTGTGGATGTTCCTGGGTTTACCTTCTGGTTTAGAATTTGAGGCTAAAATTATTTTTCCTTTTCAATATTAAAAAGAGTTTTTATTAGTTTAGAAATAAATGCAACACGGCAAGCATGAAATCAGCATAGCATTTAAATGCAGAGTCTACGTGCAGCCATAACAGAAATTACACAGTCTGATCTCCTTAGTACGTGGAGTGTGTGTCTGTAAAAACAATTGTAAACATAACATAAATATCAACCTATTAAATAGGTGAAGAAGAGTCTGGCGTTTCAGCTAATGAGTGACAAGAGTGTTTTTAAAGTGTTTGCAAATCCTCATTTCTTATTTATGCGGGGCTTTCTTCAGAACCCGACAGTGAGGTTTTGGGGCTAAAATTCAGTTTTCCTCAAGTCAGGCCCCCTGGGTTAAATACGGAGTTATTAAAATTGGTGGCTAGGAATAAAAGTTCTGCAAATCTCCACGAGGGGGAGTGTGTGGATGCATTATGCTATGTTGCCTTTTTAGCTTGACAGGGTATTAAAGGCTGAGTTCCCCAGTCACTCTTCAGAAAAGAAGGGAAGTTGGGGTGCAGTGAAATGGGCGACGGGTAAAGACACTTCCTTCTGCTGCTTGAATCCGCTGTCTCTGTCAGTCTGTGCGGCGAGGCATTGAGTACTGACAAGCCCAGTTGAAATGAGGGCGGCCAGAGATTCGCTATTTCACAGGAGATAGGAGGGATGAGAATTGGGGAGAAACAAGGAACAGCATCTCTGTGGAATTTAGTGCTTCCTCCAGCTAATCCCTTCCCTGCCCCCCCCACACGCTCCCAGTGCCGGTGGCTGGCCATGCAGAGCACAGCATGCTGGGCACAGAGTTGCTTGTTCTCTCCATTGAGGGAAGCTCGGGTACCTTGTTCTGGAACTAGTGGAGCAGAGTTTTCTCTCTTGGGCCCATTTGCCCTCAGCTGACTTTGCCCACAAGGGCTGCATTTGCATGCCCGTTGGGTGATGCTGCTGGAGTGATGTTTCCAGAGCTACCTGCAGCCTGGTGGTAGGAGCCATCTCATGAAGAGGCTCCGTGAGGAGGGTGGTATGGCCGTGCTCTTTGCAGCCACCTAAAGTGTCAGAGATGCTCTGTCCCAAACTAGCTGGGCGTGAGCTTGGGGTCCTGGGCTGAAGGTAAAATAAGACCCTCAGTGATGTTCTCATCACCTGTTGCACTGCAAGGCTCTGCGTGAGCCTCTTGGATTGTTTTGACTACTCTGGTATTGATTGTGGAGTTGGAAATCAGAACACACCCCACGTGGCATTCAGAGACCCAGAGCGATTGGGTCGTGGCTGCGGCTGCTCAGCAAGTTGGCTGCAGAGCTGGGGTTAAAGCTCAGGAACACAGCCTCTGGAGTACGCTGCCTGAAATTGCTGGTCTTTAGGCTGTGCCTGGTGGGCTAGTGGAACAGGCCAAAGCCTGCCACAGCCACCAGCAGAAGTGACTTTGGTCACCCCTTTAGCTCAGTCTCAGCAGAGAGAGACTGAACACTCATCCCTGGAGCTGAGCCCAGTGGGGCAGAGTAGAGGAATATGTAAAACCCCAACCATGGCCTGTAATTCTACATGCTGTAAAGAGGTTTTTGCTCTCCTTGGTTCTTGGGAGCGTGGCTTTTGGTGTGATGCAGAAAAGGTTCAAAGACTCCATCCTGCTCATCATTCAGGATGTAGGCCAAAACTGATATGCTTCAACTTTGTTATGGATAAGGCCCTGCCAAATTCATGGTCATGAAAAATGCATCATGTACCGTGAAATCTGGTCTCCCCCAGTGAAATCTGGTCTTGTGTGTGCTTTTATACAGATTTCACAGGGGAGACCAGTGTTTCTCAACTTGGGGATCCTGACCCAAATGGGAATCATAAGGGGATCACAAGGTTATATAGGGGATTGTGACATGACCATCCATACTTGTACACTGCCTTCAGAGCTGCGCGGACAGAGAGTGATGGCTGTTGACAGAGGGCAGCTGTGCAGAAGTAAAGGTGGCAATACCATACCATGCCATATTTACATCTGCACTGCTGCTGGCAGCATCTCTGCCTTTAGTGCTGGGATCCTGGCCAGCAACTGCTGCTCTCTGTCCAGCTCTGAAGGTAGCATCACTGCAAGCAGCAGCACAAAAGTAAGGGTAGAAGTACTGTGACTTTCCTCACAATAACCTTGCGACTCACCCACAACTCCTTTTTGTATCCGGACCCCTCCAATTACAACACCTTGACATTTCGACTTTAAATAGCTGAAATCATGGAATTTACTATTTTTAAAATCCTATGACTGTGAAATCGGCCAAAATAGACCATGAGTTTGGTAGATCTTTATAGATGATTCAGCTTATTAATGGCTTGTCATGCCTGGGAAAACATGGAAGTTCCCTGATACAGAAACAGGTTCCATCAAATGCTTTGTAGAGGTTATCTCCAGGAAACACCCCTGTTTGTATAGTCTGTTCCACTTCTAAGGCAGCAGAGAATCAATAGCAACTCAGCCGCCTGCTGAAAGAGACACCGTCAGGTTAAAAGTCACATAGGTCGGATGTGGTTCTTTGACCTGATTTACTCAAATTGAAAGAATTTTAAAACTCTTAACAGTTTTTTCCTATGTAACTTCTTGTATAGCAGTGAAGATGGATGAGATCATTTCAGTGCTCTTGTGTTTGGCTCTGCAGAGGAATGATTTACTTCATTTGGGGATCATTTAAAAAAATCCCAATAACCTGGGCTGTGTCCAGACTCAGGGGTTTTTTCGGGAAAAGTAGCCTTTTCCCGAAAAAACTTCCCCTGCGTCCAGACTCAAGCCGCGTTCTTTCGAAATTAAATCGAAAGAATGCGGCTTTTCTTTCGATGGCGGTAAACCTCAATTTACGAGGAAGAACACCTTCTATCGAAAGTTCCTCTTTCGAAAGAAGGCGTTCTTCAATGTAAATAGGGCTTCTTCGAAAGAGAGCATCCAGACTCACTGGATGCTTTCTTTTGAAAAAGCAAGCCGCTTTTTCGAAATTTCTCCGTGCAGTCTAGAGGCTCTTTCGAAAGATGCTTTCGAAAGAGGCTTGCAGTCTAGACATAGCCCTGGAAAATATTTCTGTGGGTCTCAGATTTGTTTAAATGTTACCAGGCGTGTCTCCACTGGTATCAGTACTAATGCCAATATAAAATGAGAGGAGAATCAAAATCAAGTTTTGCAGAACCTAAATTCTGGGGGAAATTTGGTCCAACACAAACCCCTCAAAGTGGCGTGATGAGGAGTCAGAGTGAGGAAACTATTGACATTGCCCTCTGTCCTTTTTTCTCTCTCCTTATTTTCAGAAAGTCTGCACCAAATGTGGCATTGAAAGTCTCGGGACCCAGAAACGCCCGCTGTGGCTGTGCAAAATCTGCAGTGAACAAAGAGAGGTAAAGGCAGTGAACAAAGAGAGGAGTGGTGCCTTTCTCAATGTAAATCTGTGTCAGAAATACATGCCTGGTGCAGAAACTCCTGTACTGTGCCTCAGAGAGGGGGAGGGAGTGTGGGGCTAGGCTTGGTCAGGCTAGCCTGGCAGAGACACACTGGGGCAAGAGATCTACCGCTGAGGGAGATGGGAAGTAGCAGTGGTGGTGGAGCTCTTACTGCTTCCTGTCTGGTGAGTAAATGACCATAGAGGACACCTAATGTGGTCTAATGAGTAGGGCCCTGGACTGGGAGTCCGGCCATGTGGTTCTGATTCCTGCCTTTCCACTGGTTTTCTGTGACCAGTGTAAATGCTTTGCAAGGTGCCGGTGCTGGCCCTTGAATAGCAGTAGAGGGCCTCAGCCAAAGTCCATTGATGTCTGTGGGAGTCATTCCATTGGCTTCAGATCTGACCCTCTGTCTATCAAGTGCCAGTCACTGCGGCGCCCAAGGCTATATCTACACTGGCAATTGAAAAATAAACTGGGTTATTCAGGGATGCTATCCCCCCTTCTGCCCTAAGACTAAAGTTTTGCCATGGAAAGTGCCGGTGTAATGAGCACTCCCGCCCACAAAGTGAACACCTCACTGGGGGTGGAAGCAGTTTGTCTGCAACACAGATGCTAAAAGTCAGGCAGTGCAGCTGCTGTTTGTCAACAGGGCTGTGTTGACGTGGCCTTGCCGTTAAAAGCTGCGTAGTGCAGACAAAGCTCAGGGTCTACACTTCTGAAATCCGCACACCCTGTCCCAATGCAGCCTTTCTTATCGCCTGCTTAGTGCTCCAGGGTGACTACGCTGACGGGAGAGGTAGACTGCAGCGTGTGTAGGCGTACCCAAGACACACACATGTATTAGGTTGTTAATCTTTAAAGTGCCACCAAACTCCTTATTCTGTTCCAGCAAAAACAACAACACGGCCACCTCTCTGAAAACTCTACCTAGATTTTAAATGGAAAAGTAGTTTTTGTGCAGGTATAATTGTCAAGCTCACATTTAGCCCCAACTCAGTGTCTGTGAATGCCTTCGGTGTCTAATTCTGGGTTCACGTCAGGAAGGCTGTGTTGGGTGATCTCCAGGGAGGTGAGCTAATGAGTCATCCCCATGTTCTGTACCCCAGACTCTGGGCCAGAATTATATCGTACGTTGAGACATGATTTATGCTCTATGGAGAGCTGGGTGCTGGAGCTCAACTGATGCCTGTGTCTGGCTTTACTTTCTCTTTCTCATGAATTATCTTTTCCCATCTCGGTTTAATTGCCTTTATAAACATTCTGTATATAAAAATAATAAAAGCCGTGATCACTAGACAGAAAAGAACATTAAAACATCCAGCAATAAGTGTTATGTGCACCCAGCATGCCGGGTGACTATAACCCTCAGAGCATTCCCTGTAGCCAAAATCATAGCTCCAGCCAAAGTGCTTCTTTGTCTAATGAAAACGGATTAAACCTTTCTCCTTTGTCTTAGCTCTTCACCTTCCCCTGCCCCTCCCAAATTCTGTCTCTTCGGGTTCTCTCTCTGTTGCTTGCCAATGAAGAGTACCAGCTTGGCAGCCTTGGACAGCAAAGATCGGGAACAGACAGCGACACAGCAGAGAGCACCGGGTGCTCTCGGGCACATCACAGCATTGTTCTGCGTCTGTTTCCCCGTCTGTAAGATGGAGATGATGATACTGAGCTTTGTGAAGCGCTTTTGAGCTCTACCAATGGAAAGTGCAACATAAGAGCTGGGGGTGATGCTCAGTATTTTATGATTCTTCTGCCCTTGATGATGAGCGTTGGGCTGTCAACCCGTTTTTGCTATATTTCTCCCCCGCTTCAAAAAGCAAAGGAATTAGGACAAAATCTAATGCCCGGAAACCAAGTCCTTCCGCACTGCTTTCCTGAGACATGAGTGAGAGTAGCAGTTGGCCGTTCCGGGGTTGTGCCGTGTGCGAGCTAGTTGTAGAAGGTGGATCCGGGCTGTGATAGGCAGCTGAGCTACTGTAGCTCTTTGCAAACAGCGGTGAATCTCTACAATCCCCCGGTGTGGCAGGGAACTCTAGATCTCTGTTTGGCAAGTTGGGAACAGGCGAAGAACTTAAGGCAGCTTCAGCACGTGCATAGGGAATTGGGAGACTTTCCCAAGGCCCTGGAGAGTTCATCTCAGAACTGTGATCAAAAGTCCTGGCTTCCAGTCCTATGCTCACACCACTCCGCGGTCAGTCCCTGGTGAGCAAACCCAAGGCTGGGTGGCCTCTACTTACACCCTTTTGTGGCATTCAGGAGACATGCCCCCAGTAGACTCACCCCACGTGCGATGCCTCCAGCAAGCTGGCCAGTTCGAGGCGCCTCCTTGGCACTCTGGTGATTTTCTGAGCCACGGCTCTGGCTACGTGTGCATGAGATTTATGGAGTTCCTAACTGTGTTGTGCTATGCTGACAAGGGAGAGGGGGAAGTAATTTGGATCCACTTCGGGGAGCTTGTATGGACTAAATAGCACAGAATCCAAGTCACTGAATCTTATGAACCTGGGCTCACCTCCCTGCCAAACAAAATTTCCCCTTCAGCAGCCTCTGCGTACAGTCTGCTAATTGCCACGTGCTTCCCTGCTCAGGATGCTGCCCGGGGCTCTGCCCATGTGGTGCAGGTGTCCTTCGTGACAGCACCTGACCATGCCCTCTCCCCTAGAGCCAGGGCGTCCTCTGCCCAGACTCGGTCAGAACCATGGGCCACACAGGGAAGGATCTTGCAACATGTCCAGTGACTGATACGGCTGCAGCTCAGTTGAGTCCCCTCCACAGGTTTAGGTATCTGCTCCCTCCTTTCCAGTTCCCAGGAGTTCCTCCCTGGGGGCGGCTGTTCTCCACATGCGTGGCGGAGAGCCTGTCTCTGAGCTAGCCGGGCCCCGCCAAGGTCAGTCCCAGGATTTGGGTCTGGGCTGCTCTCAGACTGGCACGCAGAGCACTGATGCAGCAGCCTGTCTATGTGGATGCCTGGCCTGCTGGGAGCTTGCCCAGCAGGGCCGTGGCTATGGCCTGCCCGCAGTGACTTGCTGTAATCCATCTGAGCAGCGTAACGGGGAACAAAAGACATGCTGGGCAGCAAGCTGTGTGGTGTCCCAAGGGCTCGGGGGCTCCGTTTGCTACTTTTTCATGTTGGTTTGATTTGATTTGCTGACTCTACGTCTCTGTGCTAGGGAGCTCTGATGGGGCACTGCCCTTCCACCACCACTGAACACTGGCCCCATTTAGCTGCGGGGGGAGCATTAGCCCTGGGCTGCCCTCAGAATAGCTCCCAGTCGGCTAAGGTAGCACCAGTGCTGGCCCCACGAGATGCACGTGGGGAGCTGGGGTTTGTATTAACGCAGACAGTGCGTGTCTTCCCTACGCTGAGGGGACCGCTCCAGAAGAGCTGCATGATTGCCAAACAGGAAGTGTGGCAAAGCCTGAGTGACTTGCTGTAATCCATCTGAGCAGCGTAACGGGGAACAAAAGACATGCTGGGCAGCAAGCTGTGTGGTGTCCCAAGGGCTCGGGGGCTCCGTTTGCTACTTTTTCATGTTGGTTTGATTTGATTTGCTGACTCTACGTCTCTGTGCTAGGGAGCTCTGATGGGGCACTGCCCTTCCACCACCACTGAACACTGGCCCCATTTAGCTGCGGGGGGAGCATTAGCCCTGGGCTGCCCTCAGAATAGCTCCCAGTCGGCTAAGGTAGCACCAGTGCTGGCCCCACGAGATGCACGTGGGGAGCTGGGGTTTGTATTAACGCAGACAGTGCGTGTCTTCCCTACGCTGAGGGGACCGCTCCAGAAGAGCTGCATGATTGCCAAACAGGAAGTGTGGCAAAGCCTGGGCATAGAGGAGGTGCCTGGAGCCCAACAGGAAGTGTGGCAAAGCCTGGGCATAGAGGAGGTGCCTGTGTTGTTTGGTGCTGCTGGGCAGGTTAGATGGCGTGATGGTAAAAACAGCTGCGTGCTCTTGCCACTAGCACTTACGGGGCTGGTGCAGTGGTGGGAAGACGCTGGCTGAGGAAAGCCGGTGATTCACACCAGGGCCGCTTTGAGTCACGCGCTTCACTTGCAGCGTGCCCTGAAATCCCAGGGAGGATTGAGCACGTGTTTAAGTACCGTCTTGAAATGGGGATGCGTTCCTGCCTCAGGACTGAGCACTGTCACACCCACCTTCCCGTTTTATCTCTGACCCAGGAGCAGCATAAATCACCTTGGTCATGTATTCAGTGCTCCACCCCCTCGCTCCCAGTCCTGTGCTCTGACAGCAGGACAATGTCACCTTAGCTCCAGGCAATAGAAATGTTCCTTTCCTGCTTTGTGCCCTCCCCTGCTTTGCTATTTAAATAGTGGTTGGGACTTACGCTAGAGGGAAGGGTTGCCGAGAAATTACATTCTTTCATCGTTGTTCCCTTTAGACGTGCACGATGATGATCGCTGTGAGCATCTGTGCAAAGGAGAGCACTTTCGGGTATTGCTTGCTTAGCCACGCTCTGTTCTCAAGGAGTGTCTGTGTGTGTTGCATCTCGAGAGCTGCAGGCCTTTTACCCCCAGTTCTGTTCTCTGAGCAGACGGTCATTTATATGGGGGACTGGGCGGTGTAATGGCCTGCAGATGGTATCGGTCAGCCCGCAAGGACTGAAAACGCCTTTGCTTTCAGTCCCTGATGGAATGTCTTGGAGCATGAGATGCACTGTTGGGGCTGCAGCACGGCCCTCTAGGAATGTGCTTCCTTGAGAAAACTGAGCTTCTTCCAGTCTCCAGCCAAGCACTTCCCCAGCATTGATCCATGTCCACCCTCAATCCCCACTGCCTGGCACGGTGGGCAAGTTCTGTCACCCCATTTTAGAGACTGAGGTCCTCAGGAGACTGGACTATTGTGTGTGCCCAGGCAGAGAACTGGAGGGACTGAGATGGCACCAATGCGCTTGCAATGGCAGGAAATGGATTAGGGGGACTATGCCCAGTTGATCCT